GTTCTTGCCGGAACCACAGGGTTTCTTTTAGGTGTTGACCTTTGGGGTTGTTTCCTTAGAGTGGCTCGTTTGCTGGATTCTCGGGGTTTGGCTAACTGTGAGGTTCATGTCCGGGGTGTGTCCTGGGTCCTGGCGGACAGCTGTCTTGGTTCATTCCTCTGTTTGCGGATTGGCCAGTCGTCGCCGACTCGTTTCATTGGCTCTGCCGAACATATGGACTCCTGGCCATGGACATCTTTGAGTCGGGGTGGTCTAGGCGTCACCCATTTTATGTGGTGCCCTTATCCACCTGCGAGGCGTTCACGTTGGATGCTTTTCGGCAGGACTGGTCGAGGTGGGGGTACCTGTTCCTCTTCTCCCGGTCCAGCTGTTGCTTTGGGTTCTGGCTCGGTTGCAGCCTGTTCCCTCGAGAGCAGTCCATATGGTTCCTTGGTGGCCGGCCCAGCTTTCTTTTCAGACACTGCTTGATAGGTGTCTGAATCCGGGGCGTTTTCCCGCGGCTCCGCCTCTTTCGGCAGGTTGGATCGGTCCTGTACGTGACTGGTTCGGCTTTCTCCTCGGCACTTCACGTCTGGTATTTTGACGCAGGTATCACCATCTCTGTGGTGTTCAGGTGGCCTTGTTGACGGTTTCCCACCTGCGTGCTTCATCTTGGCGACAGTATGACGTTCCTGGTGTTTCTTACTGTTGCCTCGTTTTGTGCGGCGCTGGCGGAGCCGCTCCGGCTTGCGTTCGGGGTAGACGTCACATCTGCCCTGTTTCGTACGCTTTCTCGTGTTTTGTTTCACCTCCAGCCTGCTCATGCGTCGCCTGCGCCATCCTGGTCCTTATCAGGGTGCCTTCTTATCTTCTCCTCAGTTTGTGGTAGCCCCTTCGGTTCAGGTTTCTGCTCTTTGGTACTGGTGGTAGATTTGTACGTGTGCAGCCTTTCTCCGTCCTGGCAACGGTCGAGACGGCTGGTTTCCGGAGGGGTTCTTGGGTTATTGATGCTTGATTGGTTTGGCCGGGGTGCATCCTGTGTTGGCCGGTTGCGCTTTTTGCCGTTACCTGCGTACCGTGTCTGGGGATGCGCTTTGGTTTGATCCGGTTCCCCTCGTTCCCTGTTTCAGGGCTTGGGTCTCCCAGGTCGTCCGCAGAGTTTTTCAGTCTTCCAGCCTGCAGTCTGTCTTTGCACCCGTGTTGTTTGGACGTTTGCAGCTTTTGCTGCTATGTTGGTGACGTCTAGGGCTCATTTCGGGCGCAGGGAATTGAGGGTCGCACAGGTTCTTGGCCGCCCGTTCTTTATGCGCGTCTGCTCCTGTGCGTTCTTGTTGCCTTGGGTCGCAGGTTGCAGCCTGTTGTCTCGGCTTCGCATTGCGGAGTTTGTGGCAGTCGCCTCCCGGGTTAGCCCTTTCTTTTCCTTTTCTTTGGGTATGAAGCTCCAGGGAGCCGTAGGGGCTCCTCACAGAAAACCAGCGTTGAATGTAATGAAACGCCATTTTCTGGGTGAGCCCCGGAGGCTTCCTGGCAACCCTCCCTCCCACCGTTCGGCATTTTTTTCGCGTTCGTTGAAGCTTAGCTTCCGAACTGAAACTTGGCAGCCGGCGCGGTAGGTCTAGGGCTCCCCCTCCCCCTCTCGGGGCGGGGAGGGCTGCACGAATGATCGGCGCGGCAGTAAAGTGTGATGTTTGCTTGTTTGCTTGTTTCCTTGGGATTGTAGGGAGTTTCTACCTCTCTGTTCGTTTTTTTGTTTTAGTTTTTTACCATGTGGGGTTTGTTTTGTCATGCCTACCTTTCTGGGTGCCTGACCTTGGTCTATGGCAGATAAGGAAAACCCCAATCACAGGAAGGTTTTCCAGTGCCATTGCTCCCTGAAACCTCTCTGAAGGGGCCAGGTTCTGGCGCTGGTCCCTGGTAGGTCTGAACTCCTTAGCTAATGTCCCGGTCTAATATAACATACATTAGCCCGATAAGCTCCAGGGAGCCGTAGGGGCTCCCCACAGAAAATGGCATTTCATTACATTCAACGTTGGTTTTTTTGCCCTCACACTGGCTCCCTTGTGCCCCCTTTTCCCTCCACCCACTGGATCCCTTGAGCTCCTTGTTTCCCTGCACCCATTGGGTCCCTTGTGCCCCTTTTTTCCCCTCAATCCACTAGGTCTCTTGAGCTCCTTATTTCCCTCCACCTACTGGATCCCTCTTGGGCCTTTTTTTCTTTCCACCCACTGGGTCCCTTGGGCACCTTTTTCCATCTACCCAATGGCTCCCTTGGGCTCCCATTTTCCCTCCACCCAATGGGCTTTCTGTTCTCCTCTTACTGGACCCCTCCTTGCATTCCTCCCTCTTGTGTGTACAGTATATGCATAATGGAACATTGGCAGTGTGGGGATGTCATGTGAGAAGGTGAATTGACGTCTGTCACTTCACTCACACAAGAGGGCAAGATAGCATATCCAAACAATGTACATAGCCATTCATTTTACCATTCATGGCTTGAGGCTTAAGACAATACTTCCAGCACTCTGTCTCCTCTTTAGTATAAGAATCGTGTTCTGATCCATGGGACGCGTGATTATAGCATAAGAATTTATAATTTGTTATATGTAGATACCCAGGGCTTTAACTATACCAATTGGGGGTATGTCTGAGGGACGAATTACTGACCAGAGATCACCCCATATCACCCCCACCCCACCCCTGACCTTGGAAGGGGCTCTGGTGTTTTGTGTATACACAAGGTGCCTAAACTAAGGAGAATCGAGCCCTTTTAATTGGCAGGAATGTCCGTAATTAGAAGTAGTAGTGTATGTCTCCCAAAAGCTGTGAGGACACCTCACTGAGAGTCGTGTAGCTAGTAGGAGAGTGACATAGTCACTGAGTCACGCATACACTGCATGACTCCAATCTGAGACCTCACCCCTCACACTGACTCGTTGTCTCATGGTACTTAAGCAACAGGAGACAAAGTCAGTGTGAGGGGTGAGGTCTCAGATTGGCGAGACGTTATGAGTGGAGTCCCGCAGGGGTCAGTCCTTGGACCTATACTGTTTCTGATATATGTAAATGATCTCCCACAGGGTATAGAATCGTTTCTCTCAATGTTTGCTGATGATGCAAAAATTATGAGGAGGATTGAAACTGAGGACGATAGTAGGAGGCTACAAGATGACCTAGACAGACTGAGTGAATGGTCCAACAAATGGCAGTTAAAGTTCAACCCGAGTAAATACAAAGTAATGAAACTAGGCAGTGGAAACAGGAGGCCAGACATAGGATACAGAATAGGAGATGAAGTACTTAATGAAATGGACAGAGAGAAAGATCTAGTTGATATCACACCAAACCTGTCTCCTGAAGCCCACATAAAAAGAATAACGTCTGCGGCATATGCGAGGCTGGCTAACATCAGAACGGCGTTCAGGAGCCTGTGTAAGGAATCATTCAGAATCTTGTACACGACATATGTAAGACCAATCCTGGAGTATGCGGCCCCAGCATGGAGCCCGTACCTTGTCAAGCACAAGACGAAGCTGGAAAATGTCCATAGGTATGCCACTAGATTAGTCCCAGAACTAAGAGGCATGAGTTACGAGGAAAGGCTGCGGGAAATGCACCTTATGACACTGGAAGACAGAAGAGTAAGGGGAGCATTATCACAACCTACAAAATTCTCAGAGGAATCGACCGGGTAAACAAGGATAAATTATTCAACACTGGTGGGACGCGAACAAGGGGACACAGGTGGAAACTGAGTACCCACATGAGCCACAGGGACGTAAGAAGGAACTTTTTCCAGTGTCAGAGTAGTTAACGGATGGAATGCACTAGGCAGTGATGTGGTGGAGGCTGACTACATACACAGTTTTAAATGTAGAAAAGATAGAGCCCAGTAGGCTCAGGAATCTGTACACCAGTTGATTGACAGTTGAGAGGCGGGACCAAAGAGCCAAAGCTCAACCCCCACAAGCACAAATAGGTGAGTATATTGAGAGTCACATAGCTAGTACTGTATTTGGTGGCGTAGGATGTTGGTGCCAAGTCTTCCCTGATTAGCTGGAGCAACATGCTCAGTTCTGTAAAAGAACAAGATTTTATCCTCCATGACTGAAGTTGATGCACCCTGAAAGAGGAGAGTGCCATTGTCTTCCTTGGACCATTGTTACCAGACCACCGACAAGGATAGTCAAAGGTATCAGCAGCGGACAATTTCCATAATGTGTGCTAACTACCCGTTGACAACTCTTGCTGCTCCTGTAAGTGTGCCTGCTCTAGGCAGTTGGACAACTCATACCACTTGCACTAACTATGCACCTCTTGCTGTAACTGGCCAGAAATAATTTAAGATACTGTTATAGTGCCACTGCTGATCCAGTGATTGTGACCAGATGGTATCCAGTCTCATAAGAGAATGTGCAAGAGGAAGATATTTGGACAGTTTGTCTACTTGTTTTCCCCATAGATTGCTGTAATGCAGATGAGACCTTATTTGAGCCGTCACTGAATTTGTTAGTAAAAGTGTTGACACTATCATTATATTGTTGAGCTGATGTGTTTGACATTTGCTCTAGCACTTACTTTATAGAGCTTGTACACACACTGATCAAGACAATTTCCATATAAATGCCTTGATAGTATCCTATGAGTGCAGTTCCAGTATGCAATTTGTGTAACATATATTTATTGCTGTATTAAATGAACTAACGGGTTCCACATTATGTTTTCCGTTAATTTTAAATGGTGGTTGCTATTCTAACTTACACTGTTCTCTAACCAGTACTGTAATGTGGTCATGTTCACATACGCTGTCATATATTCCAGTAGTTGGACCTGATTCATAATTGCTCATCTTTAATGTCGTCATAATATTTAGTATATATTGGCAGTAAAACAAAATTTGTGCACATTTTTTGAATCGTTGTATATGATGTAAAGTGTCTAATTTCTGTATTAATGATCTTTCAAACCAAAAATGGTACCACATAAGTATTTTGTGTAGATGAATTTCATTTCTTATATTGCAGCAAAACCTGTATGAGAGCTTTGTGACTGCTCGAGATCGCGAGGAGCGCGGAGAGTTTACCCGTGATGGAAGGGGAGCAGATGGCAAACCTCGACAAGGGCATACTATATACGTCTTCGGATACAATATATCAGAAGAAGTGCTGAAGAAAGCTTTTTCAACTTTTGGAAATATTGTTAATGTCAACATGGAAATTGAAAAAAAGTATGTATCCTTGTTTTGCAGTTTTAAAGATTTCAAAATATATTGTGTTTATAGGAGGGTATTGATTTTTTGGTCACTTTGAAATGTTCTTACAGAATCACATAACTTAAAAAATTGTATATATATAAACCAGAACATACAAGGAAAATTTACATTTAAATTGTTGTATGGAGGCAATTGGAAGTAGGTTGAGAGAATACTTAGAAAGTCAAATGGGTAGAAGTGATGACATAGGTGCTCATGTGAACATGTTTGGATTTGATGGCTTGAGAAGAGTGCGAGATTGTATGGCTGCTGGTGTACCTATGGAAGAGGTGAGTAAATGAGGAAATGTGGAAAAGCTGCAGACGTTGATGAGGTTTATGTAATAATTATTAAATGTTGTGTAGAAGAGGGAAAATTGAGTGAAGAATTTGCTAGAAGGCATGGAATAGTGGCACTGGGTCAGAGGATTGGAAATGAACAGAAAATTCCTGTCCTGAAAAAGAGGGGGTGTAGATCACACGTACGCACATACGTACGTTAGAGAAGATTCAGCGGTATGCGACCAGGCTCGTCCCGGAACTGAGAGGTACGAGCTACGAGGAAAGGCTAAAGGAGCTGAACCTCACGTCCCTGAAAAACAGAAGAGTATGGGGAGACATGATAACCATCTACAAAATTCTCAGGGGAATTGATAGGGTGGACAAAGACAAACTTCAGCACGGGTGGGACACGAACAAGGGGACACAGGTGGAAACTTAGTACCCAGATGAGCCACAGAGACGTTAGAAAGAATTTTTTCAGTGTCAGAGTAGTTAATAAATGGAATGCACTAGGAAGTGATGTGGTGGAGGCTGACTCCATACAGTTTCAAATGTAGATATGATAGAGCCCAGTAGGCTCAGGAATCTGTACACCAGTTGATTGACAGTTGAGAGGCGGGACCAAAGAGACAAAGCTCAACCCCCGCAAGCACAATTAGGTGAGTACACACCAAGACAAAGCTTGTAAAATGGACTCGTAATGGAAAGAATATGGCGTACATGGTGACCAGACCACACACTAGAAAGTGAAGGGACGACGACGTTTCGGTCCATACTGGACCATTCTTAAGCCGATTGTGAGAATGGGCAATTGACTTGAGAATGGTCCAGGACGGACCGAAACGTCGTCGTCCCTTCACTTTCTAGTGTGTGGTCTGGTCAACATAGTTCAGCCACGTTATTGTTACTCATCGCCTGCACATAGCATTTTTGCACCTGGAAAAAGCATATAATAATAGAAGTAAGACACTAGAGAGTGGTGAACATGTATGGATTTAGCAGAAATGTTTAATGCAGTGAAAGTTTCTATATAGGCAGTAGTAGATGTGTATGTTAATGATATAATGAGTGAATAGTTTAACATAATGCAGTAGTAGGTCAGGACTGTGTGATATCCCCTTGGTTATTCAGTATATACAGGGAGAGATTCATAGAGGGAAGCTAGAGTTAAGAAAATTGGAGAAGGATGCAAGCCTAATATATAGGCCTAATGTGCACAATTTTAGTTCTGTACTTTTGGAATGTTTTATGTACATAGTATACAGAAGTTGCAGTTCCCTTAGCTGAGAGTGATAGATTTATAGAGACATCCATTTGGCTGTCCCAAGTGATAATGGACAACACTAATAAAACAGACATGTGGCATGAAAGTCATACACATTTCCAAATGGTAAAATTTTTTACCAGGCCCTCTGACCTTCAAAACAGGCACCTGGGGTTGATAAATGCTATCATCCAATGGCAACAGAATCTAATGTCACTGCATGCAGCTGCCCCCAAAATTAACTATTTTGCTCAGGGCCATCTTAACAACATTGTAGGCGCTGGGCAGAGCAATGTAGTGGGGCCCTTACCCAGATGATGGGGCCCACCCATCAGGATTATACACAGACAACATGCGGGATGTGAATACCGACAGTTTGCCGGCACTTTCCCCCATCAAAACAGACATGATACTAGAAACTGGCTGTGGCTGAAGGTGATCCCTGCTAATCCAATTAAACATGATGCTAAATGGAGGGGAGGGGGAAATCTACATTGCCTACACTGTGGGTAGCAAGTGTATACTGACAGCTTGCTCGATCCCTGCCCTTGTCAAAATGCAAGAGATGCTAGAAACTGGCTGTGCTGAAGCCAACCTTGCTAATACAAAATTAATATGATGCTGGTAGAGGTTAGGAGTGCTGGAGAGAAGGAGAGATTATACTGTACTTCCTGAGAGCCGGAAGCCATATGCCACAAATCTTACAATTTCACTCTTCAAACTCTGGGGTCTGGAACTTTTTGCCTGCAAAAATAAAAATAGGCATACATCCAAGACCTATCCTTGCCTAATGGAAGCAGAGCTAGAATCTGGCTTTGCTCTAAGAGGGATAGCTTGGAAGAAAGATCAACCCAAAATCAAGAAAAACCCACCAAAAAAGTATAGGTGCAACAAATCGAGTAACTATTAGTACTTGAAGGAAATTAGGCACCGCAAGGTAAATGATCATTGATGCTGAATAAATACGTAAACTGTGATATGATGGATTTCTACCATGTTTGTGTGTGTTTGGGACAAAAAGGGTCAACTATACCGCACCGGGGACCATCTTCACTACCCTATGCTAAGTACTTGCCATAAAATTTGAACAAAATAACATACATAATATTACAAATATACGGTATACATATACTGTAATATTATAAATATATACATATGATATTATAAAGAGTAAAATTACTGAAATCAACAAGTGGTCCATACAGTGAAGCACAAATACAATACATCAGACAATGGAGATGTGTGGCAAGTGTTCGGAAGTATTGGGAAGATGTACTGTAGTTGTCAAGTGTTGCATCTGTAACATAAGATTTCACCTGGGCTGTGCAGAATTATCTCCAGGATGCACAAACAGGCAAGGAATTTACTGGGTTTGCAAAGATGACAGGTTAATGTGAGAGAATATAACTAAACTGATGAAAAACATTCCCAAGTCACAGAGATTATCATTCACAGAAAAGCTACCATTGATATATGTGGACTGAGAAAAGAAAACGCTGGATAAAGACCAAAGCTCAGGAACAGGTAGTTAAGAGAACCGCAGCAGTAGTGTGGAGGAAGAGGGTATTGTGGAACAAAACAACAGCAATATTGCAGAGCCAGGTAATATAAACAATGAGAGCAACAGTGAGACAGAGTGCATAAATGAAGGAACTGGGACGAAAGACGGAGATGGCTCCAATAAAGATGTAGACAAGACAGGCACAGGTATAAATACCTTGAATAACGTAAAAACTGAAAATATTTGTTAATTCTACGCTCATGGAATATGCAAATATGGAAAATTAGGAGCAAAATGCAATTTTCTGCATCCTCAAAAATGCAGGAACATGTTGGCGAGGGGTACATGCCGTTTTGGAACGGGGTGTAGATACTTCCACCCTAAATTATGTCAATTTTCAATTAGGGACAAAAAATGCTACAATCTTCAGTGTCCGGAATTCCACGTGAGAGGTACACAGCATTATAGATGGAAAGATCAATATGACACTACTGGAATTTTTTTTAGAGGAAGGCAGAAACAGAGTAGAAAATATAAGAGAGAGGAACAGTCAGATGGAACCACTACAGGATTACAGAGGGAAAGGGACATTACCCCACAAGACTGGAATACAAATTATCAACAAGCACACAGGTACTACACCACACTCAAAAGCAAGGAAGAGGCGCAGGGCGAGAGGGGAAAACCAGGAAGTCACAGCTCCCAACACAACACCCCTAGAGGCGAGGGGGGAACCCACAACCAGCTACCCAGTAACACCAGAAGGGAGGACAACCCCGCCACCCTCCTTTGCATAGAAAACCCCCTACCCCAAACCCTCCCTGCCTCCACTGATTTTGCTGAATGTTCAGCAAAATCTCCCTCCCCCACACCCAATCCCCACCCTTCTACCCCTCCCCTCCTACCGAGTCCTCACTTCCCCCCCTTTCCTTCCCGTCCTCCCTCCCCTTTCACCCCATACCCTCCCTGTCCCTCCCCCTTCACTGGATCCCCCGCCCCTCATCCCAGTATCCTCTGAGACCCTGTTATCCACCTCACAGGTCCTCACACCCATAGAACAGCCTCCCCCACCAGCAGAACACTCACCAAGGAGGCAATTTGAGAAGGGACAGAAGAAAGTGAGCCTCAAAGCAATGTACACTAACATAGATGGAATTACAAATAAAGCAAATGAGCTTGGAGAATGGGTAATAGAGGAAAACCCAGACATAATAGCCCTCACAGAAACAAAGCTCACGAAAACAATAACAAACGCAGTGTTCCCACAGGAGTATTATGTTATGAGGAAAGAGAGGGAAGGAAGAGGTGGGGGTAGTGTAGCTCTGCTGGTAAGGAAAGGCTGGGATTTTGAGGAGATGGATATTCAGGACTTTGAAGGTTTCAGTGACTACATAGCAGGTACCGTAACAAATGGAGGGAAAAAAATTATAGTCGTAGTCATATATAATCCACCACCAAATGACAAAAGACCTAGACAGGAATATGATAGAAACAACATGGCCACCATTAACATAATAGAAAGAGCAGCTTCTGTTGCTAGTAGGAATGGATCTGGACTACTAATTATGGGAGACTTCAACCATGGGAAGATAAATTGGAAGAACAGAGACCCGCATGGCGGACCAGAAACATGGAGAGCTAAGCTGCTGGACGTGGCAACAAGAAACTTTCTAAGCCAGCACATCAAAGAACCAACAAGAATGAGAGGAGAAGATGAACCAGCAATGCTTGATTTGATATTTACCCTAAATGAGTGGGATATAAGGGAAGTTAAGATGGAAGCGCCCTTGGGAATGAGTGACCACAGTGTATTGAACTTTGAGTACCTGGTAGAGCTAGGGCTTATCTCCCCCAAAAAAGAACTAGGAATCAAAAGGCTGGCATACCGAAAGGGGAATTATGAACAGATGAGAAGTTTCCTAAGTGAAAT